GTGTTCAATACGACACGCCTTTAAAAGCTATCATTATGCATGACTTATTTGTTAATCAAGTACCCAAATGTGATGTAAATTTATGTGTAACAATCATTGCTTGTGGCTTCAATAAATAATCAGAGTGCAGGAGCTTTTAAAATAAATAAAAATTCAGTCTCTATTTTCATCCATTCAGGTGGAAAAATCTCCGAGTAACGGTGAAATAGCAGTGTGGCAGCCTAATAATAATAATCTCTACATTCAAGGAGACACCATGTGAAAAATTCAGTCTGGTAGGGGTGGCGGCCAGGCGTATCTGTTTTTCTCGCCAGCGACACGTGCGAGCATCTTCAGTGTGATTGTAAAGAGTGGAAAATAGTCAAGTGAAGTATTAATTACACTCTAAAGATCTTTTAGGGCCTGTTTACATGGAGTGGGGGGCCCCGGTCTAGTGGGGTTGGTTTGTTTTGTTTTCACGCTCTGGGGGACACAAAACAAAAGAAACCTACCCCACTAGACCGGGGTCCCCCACTCCATGTAAACAGGGTCTTAGATATGCAGCACCTGAGTGAATTCCGAGTGCCCAGGTGACTATGTTATAAGATTTATTAGATTTTTCCACAGATAAAACCAAGGTGTCAGTTCTTAGAAATAAATAATAAAGATTACGTATTCTAGCGACACAAGGCACTATTAAAACTCATTCACTGCCTTGAGTGCGAAAAGCTTTTGTTACAAACATATACCTTCATGACTTTCCCATAAGCAAAGTTTCTTTTTCCCACGGGTGGTAGTCCATTGAAGGATCTCCTCCTTTCGCTTTTGCAGTTGCATTTCCACAGCAATAATGTTAAAATGACCAGGCAAAGTAAGATTCGCTGTAGCTTGAACATAGTTTACTTCCTCTACAGGCCTCTGTTGGATCAAATACCTATGGATTGAAACAACCCCAAAGCAGGTGATTTTTATGTGTCTATGGCCTACATTTATACCAATCATCATACACTGCTTAAACAGGCGAACGATGAGTTTATTTAAGTTGACAATGATGTGAATTGTCACTTCTTAATCAAGGATTTTTTTTAAATATAATGCTGTCAAAAGTTAAATAGAACTTCACATGAAGGAGCTCCGACTTTTCCAAATTTTTCTGGTGCAACTTTTCCTTTGAAAAAGTCTTAAACAAGTGCCAAACATTTATGTTTAAGCAAGGACGATCATAGCAATTTTATAAACTTACTTTTTTTGGAGGAAATGGATATATCCCAAAAATTTAAAACGTACAATTATAAGTATTACATTGCATGATATCGGCAACAATCATTAGCACTCTTTTCTAATCGAAATAGTTCTAATTCACAGAATGCTCGGGAAATATATTAATCTTAAAGCTACTGTGTTAAAAGCTTGAGTTAATTTGGTAAAATTATTATAACAAAACCCACATACGTTGTGTATATTATTTATAGCGAAAGGAGACATTTCACATCCTTTTTTAAAAGGATAATTAGTGACTTATCTGACATATTACCAGACTTTAATTGCTGCTATACTTTTAACTAATTTAGGCATGCTTATAGGGCATATTATCGCTTTAATTAAAGGCCGTGAAATGATTACTGTTTAATAACACAGAAAAATATGAAAATGTTCAGTGAAGGAAGTTTTAATTACCAGGAATGATCAAAATAACTGAACATAAGGTTCAATTTTTTGTCCCTGTATGTCAGTCTAGGATTCCGGATTCCCCACACCTTGATTTCCTGATTCCAGGTACTCATTTCTGATTCTTTGTCGGTGGAACTGGGATTCCAGATTGCAGCTATTAGTGGGATTCAGGATTCCTAGAGCTGTATTCCGGAATTGAAAGCCCAGGATTCCAGAATCCATAAGCAAAAATTGCCCTAAATCCGGAATGCGAATTCACGAACATGGGGCAATTTCTTTTACAGCTGAAATGTCAACTTTTACCAGTCTCACCAGTCGTGTGGGGATTTTACCGTGCCTTTCTATTTTGACTTCTATTTTTTTTTCTTTTCCATCAAGACAAATGCGAACTAATTCGAAAGGGAAGAAGCCTCACCCATCGAAACATCTTGGAAGCCTCTATTTATTTCTAGAGTGACGGAGTATTACCGCCTTACCTTGAATTGTCGAGACCTTTATCTAGAAACTCGCTAGCCATTCAATTTGATGATGGCACAAAATAAAAATTTGGACAAGAACGCATTTAATTCATGAGTTTGGTACGGTATTTACTTTAAGTATTTGCTACATTCATAAGCGCGACGCTTTCTTAGTTGTTTGATTCGTCTTTCATTTATGACTAACTATTTGAGAACACAACATGGCTTGGTAGGGATTTACAGCCCTACTGAAATAATGATATGGGGCGAGCATCGCTTTGCCTGGAGAGCTAGATCGTCATGTATTAGTCCAACGGCCTCCTTACAGAACTCTTTTTAGAGTAAGATACACACAGTGAATATTATCTCGAGAATGCAAACTGCCACAGAAGTTCGAAGAATCCTCGTCTCTCTCAGCTAATATTATCATCTAATCAATCTTATTAGACAGTATGCTGTAAAATTTATCCGCTTCTTAATAAATGCATTGTTTGTTGTTGTTGTTGTTGTTGTTGTTGTTATAAGAACGTTAGGAAATCAAAAAATAGATTTCGTTAATTCTCCGAACTGTTATCTTAACCTTGATGGTCACCTTTGGGAAGGTATAGCTAGTTTCATGATGTTGTGGCTACGGTACCCCAGCTGGAAATATAATAAGTAAAAATAAATGTGTCCACAGAAAGAGCAAAGTAGAAAATGTTATTTGTAACGTAAAAATTCTAAATAACGTTTCAAGCATTTCTTTTCCTTTTTTCACATACTCATGATACTACTGATGCGAGGTCATGTTATATGGAACAATGCACACTTTTTAGCCGAGGTGACAGTTATCTTTATATTCCTAGTTTCGGTTCTCTTTATTATTGGTTCTTTATTGTTTTTCCTTTTTTATCGTTTTTTGTTTTCTTCATCTTTTTTTCTCTAAGTTTTCAGTGTTCTGTGTTCCACATTTTGCTGTGTTTTCTTTTCTCTTTTCTGTTTTGCTGTTTTATTTTTGTTGTGTGTTTTCCCTTTTCTTGCTCAGTTTTTCTGTTTGCTTTCGTTTTTAATTATTTAGTTTAATTTACTGTTTTCTGATTAATGCTTTGCATGATTGATCCTGTTTTTCTTTTATCACGACCTTGCTTTCCGGCCTACTTCAAATCCTACTAGGTTTTTTTTTACAATTTGATATTACGCGAAGTGGTATATTAAAAAAAACATTATTTTGGCCTTAAAGAGTTAAAATTTACTGAGAAAATCACTTGCATGTAAAATGCAAAAACAGATGTCAAAATCGGTATTTTTCCTATCCCCATCGCATACTGGTCACGATTCGGGATTTTCAAGCAAAATCGGGAGAATCCCGACGAGATTGGAATGGCTGGACAATCTGAAATTAGCTTTGAATGTTGTCACTGCTTTTGCGCAATATATCTTTCACAGTTTTGTCCACCTGTTTCTTCAAAGTTCCCCTACTAAATTCTCGAAAAGCAGACCGGCAGAGGTAGTTTAAAGAAAGTGGAAGCATTATAAGGGAACGTAAGCGACTGACTTTCTATTTAAAGTAGAATTGAACATAGTTTTAACTCGTGTTTTTATTTGTGCTAAATTTTTTTTTTGATCGGAAAGCAGCTTATTATCAATCAGTTTTATGAAGGAAACAAATACTAACTATGTTTAAATAAATCCCGCTTTTAACCATGTTTAACAAGCTTTTGGCGCAAATGGGATATAATATTTGCCATTATGGCAATTTATGAAGGAACATCGCTGGTTTTGAAAGGTGAGAAGTGGGAGTTAAGAGTGACGAAAAATTTCGCTCACTCTTTTCACCTTTTAAACCAATGTACTTTTTATTCTTAGCATTGAATAGCTTGCCTTCAGTTTTTGCTTTTTACTCTGACGATTTCCAAATGGAGACTTATGCACTCACGCTGGCTAAACGACGAAACGTTCCCTCCCCCCGCCCCCCGTAATAATGGCTTATATGTGGAAGCTTCCCCTGAAAGGGGTACTTTTTCAGGCTTCAGGTCTATGAAGGGTAGGGAATTACCTACTTGAAGTATATGAAAGGGTAGGTAAATCTGTCATTTGGGTCTGTAAAAAGGCCCAAAAGGGCTTACAGATGCATTTTATGGCTATAAAAAAGTCGAGAAAACGTTCTGGTTTTGTGATTTATTCATGTTTAAAGTATAGTGAATTTACAGCAATTTAAAGAAATTCAAAGCTCCAGAAACTGGGTATTTGAAAGGGATTCTATTTGTCAATAGATGGTAAACGAAAGGGATACCTTTTCTCTCAAAAATGGTGTATAGAAGGGATACGCAAGTGGCTGGACATCGGGGCGGAGCCCCCCCTTAAAAAACGTTGTTGATAGCCCCCCGGGTCTCGGGCACTCATCATGCGAGCATCTGGAGTCATTAAAAAAGCCAGAAAAATATAACACGATGACTAAACAGTATTTTGAGCTGTGTTTTTAAACAAGTTGCTAGTTAATTAGATGGCAACAAACGTAAATTAACGGGGTGAAGAAATATGATAAGTTTTACACATCTAAAAACAAATTTCACCACCTCATTAACAAGTAATAAAAGGCATATGCTGAGTCATTAGCAGGGTCTCTAAAACTTTAAGATTTACTTAGAAACATTTGTGGCTTAGAATTGAAATGTATTATAAGTGTTAAAATTTGTCAACGACTTGGGATATGAATTACAGAGAACGCTTGCAAAAAAATTAACATCTTTCTTTAATAAAAAATTATTTGGAAGAAAATTTAATGTTGACGTCGGATTAATTGTCATGGTTCTAAATATTTAAAAACATGTTCCCTATTTGAGCTTGTTTAGCAAGTTTTACTCTTTTAAAATTAATACATACTAATTACCTCATTAAACATACCAAACAAATGTGTGTTGCCCGAAGAGGAAAAAACAAAGTTGCTTCGGATACAACTCATTGAGGGAGCTTGCTCTACAGCGTTCAGTTCGCAAAGTCGCCGTCAAGAACTTTGAAGTGATAGACATGTACAAAAAGCTTTTGGTTTGCCTACTTATCTCTGCCTTACTGCTCCTCGACCAAGTCAAAAGCTCCAATGCAGTCCCTTGGGGAAGAAGAGATTTCGCAGAATGGAACCTTTTAAAGGTGATGACTTTCTTTAGAGCAGAGTTGGATAATTTTAAAAAATTGCATTTTTTTTTGTAAACACACCTTTTTGAAATTTTCACCCCCTTTGTCAAAATTTCCTAATTTCTTGCGCTTCAGAATTCTCATTTAGTGATTATTATGAGATCTTTCTTCAGTAAGGCGTCTTGGGCGTACGTGTTCAGTTCGCTGTAGAAAGTCTGGTTGTGCGCATTTCTATATTGCGTTTGACCGTTGAGTAGATGAAATAAATGAAATTCTATAACATAAATTCTTCTTATTTATCCTCGGTGGTATTTATAGCAAAGGCTGTATTTATAGCGCAAAGGCTAGTAAAGTCGAGAAAACAACTGAAACAAATGATACAAATCAACATATCAGGGTTATGAATCCCGACTGGCTGGAGTCCTTAAATCAGTTGATTATTTACAAATCCAGCGAGCGGCAATAAACTCGTATTACAAGTCCAGCTGACCGCTCTAACCACTCGGTCACCCTTCCTATTGTAAAAGTCTGCAGTAAACATATTTGAATTGAGGCTTAATAAATAAACAGTAAATATTTTCATGGTGTCTATTGAACGAGCGGTTTCCTGACTTCTGAAGCTCTAAACAATCTTCCAAGGAGTGCGATCGAGATTAAATTGTTGTAAAAATAAATGTAAAGTGCTTTGCTACCTTGTTGTTTCTTGTAGAACAGAGAATTGTCTTAATGTAGCCATTCACTCTACAAGCAGCTGTGATGCAGTTTCCCTGATGTATTATTAGCCTTATGCTATGTTAATCTGGTCTTTCCTTAAAGTTTTCTCAAGCTCCCGCTTTAACTATTTATACTGCCTATGAATCCCGCTTTTTAGCTCAAAAGGGTATTCGATTTCAAGCAAACCACCCCTCGACGGACTCAACAACTGATACAGTTTGTTCGTCCTTGTAGAACGAAGATAGAAGAGGTGCTGATGTATTTTCAACAACAAAGCCTGTTGGGAAGAAAGCGTTTCTTCCAAAAAAAAAAGTTAGCATAGCCTGAATTTCAGCCATCTCCTTTAGCCCGCACTGTGGCTATTTCTCGGGATTGTGCCGCGACTTGATGAGGACTTGGCTAAAATTTAGGCTGACGAAAGCACTGCTCTACTAAGACGATGGCATGCCGTTAAGCAAAACTGAATATTTTCCCTTTCTATTCCTTATTACAGAGACGAACAACCGGTGGTAATGAAGAGTATACAGATCCACAGCCTGTTGGTCGGGAAGCTTTCCTCGAAGGCAAAGTAACTAAAACTTAATCAAAGTGATGGCATGCAATCTAAGGAAAGTTACAATATTTTAGCTTTTAATTCCCTTGCAGAGAGAGTCTGGCGGAGGTGGCACAGAAACATATGAACCACCTCAGATTTTTGGGAGGGAAGTGATTCAAGGAAAAGTAAGTTGTGCAATGAGAAAGCATTCACTGAGGTGAAACTTATGTTTAAGGCATGCTGAGATTGTAGACTTTCGCTTACATACTCTTAGTGTGAGGTTCGAGCTGCACTTTACGTTAAAGTGTAGTCACTTGAGCTTTCTTCATGCTTTCGACACTTAAACACCGCATGAGGTCGCTAAGTACAAATCTAGGTACTCCCCCACCCGGGGAGTTGAAAACTCCAAAGGCCTTTTTAATGAGGTATAACCAATTGCAGTGGCCTAAACTCAAGTCACAAGGATCGGTATTAAACTATTACATTCTAGGTTTCAAAGACTTCAAACAGCTTGTTAAGCCGCTCTCTTAAGAGAGGAAGGGGGGGGGGGGGGCGTATGAGTCTCTAGTCTGGCTTTTCGTGCATTGCGAAGACGGGTCCATGTCCATATCTATAGTTTACTATTGTATTTTCCCTAATATTTGTCCGCGGCTTTCGCCATTTTATCTAGTCTCTTTGTCGTTTACATTTGTCGCCATTTTATCTCGCTTGACGAGGGCCTCCTTTCTATCAACCTTGTGATTTTAATAGCTGTTATTTGCTCTAGCTCTCGGAAATCTGGGCAACAAAATAGAATTTCAGCCATCTCCTTTAGCCCGCACTGTGGCTATTTCTCGGGATTGTGCCGCGACTTGATGAGGACCGGTGAGGGTAAAAGGCGGAATGAGTTTGCGGAATGGCATGTGGCATGGCTTGCGGAATGACATAATTATGCAGAATGTAAAATATGGAAACTGGCGCAAAGAAATGAATTAAACTGAAAGGCATGCGCGCGTCATTGCCGCGCCTTTTTTGGCACCAATTTGAGTGAGCAACTGCTTCACTGGTTCACGCATTTAGGCATTTATCTAAAACATACCTGAGAATTGGCTAGGGTTCCTGAAGGTAGCCTCCAAACGAAAACATTAAAGTCCGGTAAATATAGTGAGGCGTGACCAAAATAACTTAGTCTCCTCGATTGTAAAGTAACAAGACGAAATATCTTCTTTTCCCGTTATCCTTAGCGAATTACCATAGTTAAAATCCTTATTTTTCGATAGAAGGGAGTACCAGAATACTTAATTGTGCGGTTGATTTTTTGCTTCTTCAAAATACTGTCGGCACCGAAAATGTTACTCCTTCGATCAAGAATTACGTTGCGTTACTTCCGTCTCTTCAAACGTACAATGTGACACGTGTAGTCACGGAACAGACTGTCACGCAGAGTCGCAGACAGGTAAAGTTCAGTGTTTCCAAATGGCTAAAATTAACCCAGTTTCACCTTTTTACCCCATTGTTTGATTGGAAAAAGCAATTTTGCAAACGAAAAACCTACAAGACGTACGAAAAACGAGCCTTTAGGCTGTAAATTTCTATTTATGTGCGTTTCGAAATTGGAAGTGTTTACACAATACAGACAATTACCGCCAGCCTATTCCTGAACTTCGATGGTGTCTTACAGAGATTTCCTTCACTTACCCAAGCCAATTCCCCGGTATGTTTTAAATGAATGTCTAAATGTGTGATTTAAATACCAAGAAGAGAATTTGGAGTAATACCACATGTTAAATATTGCCGTCGAAAATGAGTAACGAACTTAAATTTTGTCTCTCATTTTTAAAATTATTTCAGTACGACCAGCATCCCTATTGTCCAGAAAAAATCTTCCAGTGGAAGGAAAGAATTTTTCTGTTCTTGGAAAGTGTCCAAATTTCTCCATCCAGCTTCGTTTGCGAACGCGAGGAAAGTTGAAGTTAGCGAATTTCAGGTTAAAAATTAATGCAGTCTGAGACGGACTCCGACATCGAAAACCGATGTTCTATTTTTTCTCACCAATGAAAGGCTTTCGGCGGGAACAATCTACGTTAGGTTTCTTATAAACCTAAAAGCTATCTATGAACAAAATGAAAGAACTTGATTTTTCAACTCTTGCCACGAAATTAACATTTTGGTCGATTTTTCTGTTTCGCACGTCTCAAACCCGCAACTGAGGAAACAAAATACAGGATTCGTTTCTTCTCTGAATATTATCAATTATGGCACGATGACGTAACCCACAGTCTCATAAAGAAACACTTCTCACACGGTTTGGAATACAAATATAGGTAACAAGAAACTCTTAAGTTAATCGTACAAACATCTTTTGCTGAAAAAGTTAATTAAAGTAGAAGGGAGCGTGACCTTCGAAAACATCTTTTCTTCAATAGACGAAGAACCTTTTCTGCTGTGCGGACAAGGCTGGTCGACAAATGAGCCTTCGTGGTTTTTTGATTGTCATCGTATGTTAAGCCCGCAACATTAAAACAGAGGCTGCGTTTGCAAATTGATTGGCGCCAAAAAAGGGCGCTCTTTTCAGTTTAATTTATTTCTTTGAAAACGATCTGCGTATATTAAATTCCGCATAATTATGCCATTCCGCAAGCCATGCCACATGCCATTCCGCAAACTCATTCCGTCTTTTACCCTCACCGGATGAGGACTTGGCTAAAATTTAGGCTGACGAAAGCACTGCTCTACTAAGACGATGGCATGCCGTTAAGCAAAACTGAATATTTTCCCTTTCTATTCCTTATTACAGAGACGAACAACCGGTGGTAATGAAGAGTATACAGATCCACAGCCTGTTGGTCGGGAAGCTTTCCTCGAAGGCAAAGTAACTAAAACTTAATCAAAGTGATGGCATGCAATCTAAGGAAAGTTACAATATTTTAGCTTTTAATTCCCTTGCAGAGAGAGTCTGGCGGAGGTGGCACAGAAACATATGAACCACCTCAGATTTTTGGGAGGGAAGTGATTCAAGGAAAAGTAAGTTGTGCAATGAGAAAGCATTCACTGAGGTGAAACTTATGTTTAAGGCATGCTGAGATTGTAGACTTTCGCTTACATACTCTTAGTGTGAGGTTCGAGCTGCACTTTACGTTAAAGTGTAGTCACTTGAGCTTTCTTCATGCTTTCGACACTTAAACACCGCATGAGGTCGCTAAGTACAAATCTAGGTACTCCCCCACCCGGGGAGTTGAAAACTCCAAAGGCCTTTTTAATGAGGTATAACCAATTGCAGTGGCCTAAACTCAAGTCACAAGGATCGGTATTAAACTATTACATTCTAGGTTTCAAAGACTTCAAACAGCTTGTTAAGCCGCTCTCTTAAGAGAGGAGGGGTGGGGGGTGGGGGGGGGGGGCGTATGAGTCTCTAGTCTGGCTTTTCGTGCATTGCGAAGACGGGTCCATGTCCATATCTATAGTTTACTATTGTATTTTCCCTAATATTTGTCCGCGGCTTTCGCCATTTTATCTAGTCTCTTTGTCGTTTACATTTGTCGCCATTTTATCTCGCTTGACGAGGGCCTCCTTTCTATCAACCTTGTGATTTTAATTGCTGTTATTTGCTCTAGCTCTCCGAAATCTGGGCAACAAAATAGTACACTAAGCAGGGATACTCAACGAGAATATACTTCAAAACCCGACTTAAACATAGCGTTGTTGACCGTATTTTAGTATTTAAACTGTAGATACAGGCATATTTTTATTCCCCTTTTTTTCATCTGTTCGGATTTCCTAGCTGAAAGTCTAGTGCTCCGAAAATTATAGGGATCAAAACTTACCTTTACGCAAATTTCAGCCAGAAATAAGGCTCCCGAAAAATCTAATTGACCTTTTCAGGGTAAAAATCCGTTAAAAACGGGCAATTATACCATTTTTTAGATTTTCGCAGCACTACGGCTCGTTCTCGGGATGGTGCGACTTGAGGACTTGCATGACTAAAATTCAGGCTGGTGAAAGAACTGCTCTGCTGAGACGATGGCATGCCGTCAAGGTAATACTGATTATTTTCCCTTTCTATCCCTTACAGAGAGGAACAACCGGAGGTAATGAAGAGAAAATAGATTCACAGCATGTTGGTCGGGAAGCTTTCCTCGGAGACAAAGTAAATAAAACTTAATCAAAGTGATGGCATGCAATTTAAGGAAAAGTTACAATATTTTGGCTTTTAATTCCTTCGCAGAGAGAATCTGGCGGAAGTGGCAACGAAATATTTCACAAAGGTCAGATAATTGGGAGAGAAATGATTCAAGGACAAGTAAGTTGTGCAATGAGAAAGCATTCACTGAGGTGAAACTTATGATTAAGGCATGCTGAGATTGTAGACTTTCGCTTACAGACTCTTAGTGTGAGGTTCGAGGTGCACTTTACGTTAAAGTGTAGGCACTTAAGCTTTCTTTAAGCCTTCGACACTTAAACACGGCACCGCAAGAGGTCGCTAAGTGCAAATCTAGGTACCGCCACAGGGTTGAAAACTCCAACGGCTTTTTTAGTAAGGTATAACCTGTTGCAGTGGCCTAAACTCAAGTCACAAGGAACGGTATTAAACTATTAGATTCCAGCTCTCAAACAGCTCGTTAAGGCCCTCTTAAGAGAGGAGGGAGGGGGACGTATCAGTCGCTAGTCTGGCTTTTCGTGCATTGCGAAGACGGGTCCATGTCCATATCTATAGTTTACTATTGTATTTTCCCTAATATTTGTCCACGGCTCTCGCAATTTTAACTAATCTCTTTTTCGTTTATATTTGTCGCCATTTTATCTCGCTTGACGAGGGTCTCCTTGCTATCAACCTTGTTTTTTCAATTGCTGTTATTTGCTTTAGCTCTCGGAAACCTGGGCAACAAAATAGTACACTAAGGGCACCCAAAGACTTTTTTTTGCCTGTTCGAAGGGGCAAATAGTGCCAAAAAAATTCTGAAACGGGATAAAGGCTTTTAAACCGGCATTGCTTAGCATAACGAGCCGCACCGTCTTAGCAACCAAAAAAATTTTGTTTATCAAGCTGAGATAGGGGACTAAAAGTCCCCTATCTCAGCTGGATACTCAGAAGCTTGTAACATTCACTATTCCATTTATCTCTGATCATATTTCCCATCTAATACGATAGAGGCGTCAATTTTCGCGCCATCATGTCATCATTCTAGGGCGAGAAATTTAATTAAAGCGCGGCATTCAACAAATGTACGGCTCAAGTTTCGGC